GATGTTTTATGCTATATTATTTATAAGGGATAGATAGTCAATGTTTTAACAAATGATGTATCATATTACATTGCTTTCTGTAAAGAGAATTGTCTATTTTGCCTCCAGTTTAAAATTTTTTTCTCGCGCTAATTGAATAGACAAACTAAGCTGAATTTTTAAAGGCTCTTATTGTGTAGTTAGATGGTAATGTAAGCTGCGACTTCACTAAGTGATTTAGAACTTGTTTGGTGGGATTATTATTTAGACACAGTTCAAAGGCCAATAAAAACAATAAAATTTAAGTATAAACAGATATATACTCTTACGAGCTTTAAGTATTTTAGGATGAACAGTTGTGGCTTCCTGTTACAAGTTGCAGTCATTCTAAAAAAAAAGGATAATTTAAATTTCTTTCCTAATTTTTTTGAATGACCTCATATAGAGTTAGGGTAGAGAAAATAAGTTTTTTTCTATATAAAATGTTTAATACTTATTTAGGTAGTTTAGAGATTATGCAAATGAAATTTGAAAATTTTCAGATAAAGAAAAGTATTTTTAATTTTAACATGAAAATCATTTTGCACTCAGAGCAGTCAACACTAACTTCATATCTTCATGGACAAATCTTTAGTAAAAATACTTAATTAAAATTCTGATTTTTTTGCGTACAAAAGACTTGTAATGCGTACTAAAAGCTTGAAAAATTTTGACAGTTGTTAAAATGCATAATGTGGAAACTCGGATGGTCACTTTGAGGTCACATGGTCAGTATAATACAAAAAAAATCTTTTTTGTGTTAATACTGACTATTTTCACATACTGAGTGACAAAGGTATCAAAATCACAGTATTTATAGAAAAGGTGTAAAAAAAAGCCATAGTGCATGTAAAGTTAAAACAGGTAAATAATATGTAAATTCAAACATTTTTACCTTTTTGTGATGTTATTTCTGTTCATATTGTTTAAAAAGAGGTCAAAGTATACAGAACATGGTGTTTCCAGTAGTGTTAATGTACAAACATTTCTAGAAGAACCTGGTCTGTATCCTTCTAGAGGTATCATGTCTAAAGGCATGATGTAAAGCCAAAAATGCTCAAATTCTACCTCACCCTGACAGTAGTGCCAGCCTGTCATGGTAGTATCATGTATCTATTCTTAAGAGAAAACAAAAACCTTGTGGTAAGTTTTTCTGCAAAGATAATGTGTGTTTTCTACAAAAATCTGTGGCAATCACTTTCTCATAAAAAACTGTGTTAATAATTGTTAATGAATGAGAAAAAATAAATCACATTGCTTAGATCAGAAAAATGTATACACATATTATGTGTATTTTATAGCAATCAAAGAAGAAAAACAAACATCAAAGTGTTCCTGTGTTTTGATTAAATCTAAACTAGGTACAGTCTTATTGCCCATTGTAATCATCAAACAAATGTGGTACAGAACAAATAATTTTAGTTAGCAAAAACGAATAACAAAATAATGAAAAGTATTTGCACAAAACTAAAGCAAGCAAGCACTAACTCCATGCAATATCTGCTTTTATATTTTGCCTTTTTTTTTGTTACCCCTTTTCTGCTTCTGAATCACTATCAAGTGTCTCAGTGAGACTGAACTGTACTATTTGATTGTAATATAGAAACACCAGTGCCAAGGTGTTTGATTCAGAGGTTACCGGTAGCATTAGGAATCTATCTCTGGCTTACTAACATAAAGTATAACATTATGTACTACTCTAGCAACATCTTATGTTAATAGTATAATAGTAGTATCAATTAAGAAATGTTAGCTTTTTTTTTCAATACAAAAAATTTCATGAGGTAGAACTGTTCTAGATTTGAGTTCTACTTGGCACATCCCTACACACAGATAAAATTTGAGAAAATAGTGGTTGCCATGGTGCCCTGGCCTTGGAATTTATTGAGGCCTGGCATATATGACCCAAGAAAATTAATAAAATAATCTTTATGCCACTTGTGTCTCTGCTTTTTTCTTTATTTACTTTTGATTTGTTTTATTTAATTGTAAAATGAGGTGCTCCTTTTACCCTGAATCTGCTACTGGCCTTCTTGCCATTACCATAACACTGAGCAATGGCATTATTTTCAACATACATTACAAAATGGCAGTGTTTTGGTTTTAGGCTTGTAAAATATGTTTTTGTAGCCTGTTCTTCTTGTAGATCTTTTAGGGGTTTTTTTTTTATAACAAAGTTGAATTTTCTTGGGATAATACATACATGGCTCCAGAAGAATCAATTAGGAGCCAATCAGAACAGGAAATCAAGTGATAATTATTGACCATGAGACATTGCACTTATAGTGGGTACCAGTCTATGACTGTTTGTCTGAGAGTTACCTTCACATTAGAGATGTAAGTATAAACTGTATATTGAGAGGTCATCAAAGAGATTTATACTACAAATCACAATGCTACAAAATCAAGATGCATAGAATAAAGCAAGTCCAAGAGCAAGCCTTGGTGCCATGTGAATATAATAACATAACACTTTAATTATTCAATTTGTATTATTGTTGACAATGTACTGATAAGTGTATTGCACATACAGTTGCTTTTAGTTTACTAGTTTTGTGCCTTCCCTTACTAGTTTGCATCCTTACATTTATTGATCTATAATGCATACTATTAATTGTATTCGTTACATTAAGAGTGATTGATTAGAATAGCCAGATATGATAATCTGAAAGAATTACTTCATTACAAGTGTATTCAGATTAACGAAGTTTCACTGTATTTATATTTAATTATAATCCCAGAGCTGAGCTCATAGCATGTGAATATCAGATCTTGCATATGGACATGAGAATTATTCTCACAAAATAAATATTCATAATTGTTAAACACAACAATACTTAAAGTAAAAATATAATGTTATGTTCTCTACTATGAAACATATGATACCCTGCATGAAACCTGGGTGTTTATAAGTTAATTAAGTTAGCCAACATCACCCATAATTATGTATCATTTATATGTTAATGCCAATCACTTTAGCTTTTGCTATATTATCATGTGGCTTGGGTTGAAAAATGGAGAGGAAATGAAAATAAGAAGAGAACAAATGAAACTATATCTTTATACACAGTAGTGCAAATTGGATTGCTTCTTTGTTTAACAGAATAGCTACAACTGACTACTGGGGAAATATCCTTAAATGTCCTACAGGACAAAAATAGTGAAGAATGATGAAATACCACACTTTAAAGTTAGACCATGGTCCAAATATAGTATACCTCTATCTTCAAATTATCTTTATCAGTGATTATTCCAAATAAAAATCTAAAAGGAAGAGAATCACAACTCATAATTACTTGTACAATTCTCTTTGTCATCTCTTGAAATGCATTTAACACCATTCCATGATACAGACAAACAGATACAAGATTCCATAAAATAGGTGTTATATACAACCTTTACTTAAGCGAGGAGATAAATTATTGTTTATGACTTCTTAATCTATTTTATCAGAAAGACAGTACTTGCATGTTACCATGTGAAAATTTAGAAACATAATCTTAACATACTCTGAATAAAGATATATTCTATGGATAAAATATTATCACAAAGGTAAAACACTTCATGAAATTCCTGCTCTTGTATTTCTGCATATAATTTTAACTATTTACTAAAAGGTGTCAAATTCATTTTCAGTGTGATAAATAATAAAATTCGCTTTTCTTTTAATTCTACAGATAATGTCAGTTTTAACTAATTAAATGAACTTGTAAGCAAGTTTTAGACTTGCTTTCATTAGACAGTAATATGCACTAACTTTTTGTTAAAACCACATGATTGTTCACTTTCTTTAGAACTAAAGTAGTTATGAATGTATAGTTTAATACATTTCCAAGTTATTTGTTTATAAAGATCTTTCTAGCAAATACAAAAGTTGAATGAATAAATTATATTCAAATTATTTTATAAACAAATTAAATTCTTAAACTGTGATGTGAAGGATGGTTAAATAGATAAAGTTAGATTAAAACAAAATTATCTGTAGTAGTTTGTCAGTTAAAGATAATGATTTACACTTTGCTGGTAAATTAAGTGTGTTTAAAGAGTCTTCTCAGTTGAATTAAGGACTTAGCTTTCAATAGAAGATATTCTTAGTTAAAGTGGCTTTCAATTTTAATGTGTCTTTTTACATTTGAATGAGGGTTAAGTGCTTAGGATTATGCATAAATAAGGTTTATCCACTTTGACCTGTACACTTGGTTTAATTATGTAATCTTTGGGCTGTATTACCATGTGAGACGCAGTAATGTTAAGAGTTGGACGATTTGGTTAATTGATATAATCGATTACCACTGAGAAGTGATTACTTCAGATAATGCTACATAGAGTAATCCATCAAGGGATATTATGATTAAATCAATTAATCTAACTTAATGTTTCCAATTACTACTTTTTTGATTATTCCAACAGTTGATTAATAAAACTTCTGTACAAAAATAATCAACCAATCAAAATTATCATTAAATCGTTTTTCATGAATGTAGGCAATTAAGTGAAGTTAGGTTTCAGATTATTTATATTTTGTTGCTATCATATTTATATTTGTTTGTTTTTAAACATGAATCTGTATAATGGAATATCTGTGCTGAGTCCAGTTTTTGAATGTAATCGTTCAGCAAATACCACTAATTGACCTATCTCTAATTATTAGCCCATTGTATTGAACACTACTTAAATTTGTGTTGGATAAACTTTTAACACTAGAACATTGTCTTCAAGTTACACAATACATTGATTGTATGTGAAAATACAATTGTGTATTTATTTTTTAATTATAATAGAATTGAGCTTCATTTTTTTATTTAAACATTTTATTGGAAAACATTAAATGAAGGTTATATAAAAATTAAGCTACGTGTGTATTTGAATAGTCATCTGGCTAAAAGAAATAAGATACTTATGTTTAAATATTTCAATAATACTTTGGTTATTTACATTACAGGTACTGTTATCTCAGCAAAAATGATAGACTGTGGGAAATATTCATCCTTTGATGCTGATATATTTTATGAACTACCAGAAGATCTGGAAGCTTTTCCTCCTTTAGCCATTCCCTGCAAACTTTATGGGCTAGAGTGGAAGCGTTCAAACAAAGAGTTAGTAGAAAAATGCTTGGCTGGCAGTGATTTGCTAAATGAGAAGAAATTCACCATCAAATTCATTAATAACTGGGAACAAGGAGCATTTGTTTCTATAATGGATGGAGAAGTGGATATTAGTCAATCACTTGTCACTAAAGGTTTGGCAATGGCTATGTTTAAAGAAGATGAAGCTATGATTACAGCTGGTTATACTCTAACAACCTTGAATAATGACCCTTTGCTTGTCACTTTAAGTCATTTTGAGTCTATAAACATGTTTTATGTGACACTTGTAAAGGAGCTTAAAAATCTTGATATCTTATCGGCAAAACTTCAAGATACGTTTGAAGCTATGGACGAGGAAGAAGGTCAGGTGACAGAACCATGTTGGGGCAAAGCATGTGTATGCAAGTTTAATGAAGATGGTGTGTGGTACAGAGGAGTAATTACATCAGTTGATAAAGAAGTTGTCACTGTCTATTTCGTAGATTTTGGAAATGAGGAAGAAACTACTATAGACCAACTAAAGGAGTACCCAAAAGATATTTTGAATTCTAACAACTTTGAGTCAGATTGCTTTAATTTTCCAGCCTTTGCTGTATGTTGTTCCTTGTGTGACACAACTTCAGTTGAGGGAAAAGAACAAAAAATTGAGGAATTTTTAAAAGAATTAGTTGGAAAGTATTTGACTTTAGAGATTTGTGAAAGAGGTTCACCCTACATTGTTTTGCTATCAATGAATGGAATGGAAGTTAGTGAAACTATGTGTAAGAAAGAACTTGTGAACTTAAACAAGCCAACAGTTAACTATACAGAAGGAAGTCGATCACTGTCTGAGTACAGATATTCTGTGGTCAGTCATTTTGAGTCCTTGAGTTGCATATTTCTTGTACCAAACTCATATGAATATGAAGCTTTCCAGAAAAAGTTACAGACTGTATACAACCAGATTAAACTGGGAGAATTTGAACTGGATAATGTGGCTAAAGGTGTACCATGTGTTGTAAAATCAGCTATAGATAACTGTTGGTACCGTGGCATCATTACAGATGTAAAGATGGAGACTGTAACTGTTTTTTTATAGATCTAGGAATAACAGATGAAAAAAGTTCTAAAGAATTAAAAAAACTGAAGGTTTCTTTTTCCTGGCAGCTTCCTTTTTCTTTGAAATGTTCTTTGTCACATGCTTTGGCTTGTGCTGAATTTAATCTAAAGCTGTTTAGTGAAAGTGATAATGTAGAGGCAGTCAGAAAAGAAGTAATTGGAAAGATGGTAGAAGTTGAGTTTATGAGCAGTGAACCAATCCCAGCAGTGAAACTCCTTGTTGCAAGAGATATGTCTGAAACAAATCAAGATTATAATCAAATAACTGACCTGATTGAAGAGGTATTAAAATCAAAGTTTCTGCTCTCTTTGAAAGAGATGGAACAAGAAAAGGAACAGAGGTATTCACCACTAACTACCCCACATCTACAGAAGTACCAACCTTTAGATATACCCTTGCATACCAAGTTAGAAGTGAAGGTTAGTTATGTAAATACTCCTAGTGAGTTCTGGGTGCAGCTAGTTTACCAACAAGAACAACTTCACAACATAATGGATGAAATAGCAGACATATATTCAAATATCTTTGAAGATGAATTTGTTATTACAGAACCTCAACCTGGGACTCCTTGTGTTTCTATTTTCTCAGAAGATGGTGGATGGTACCGAGGATATGTCAAGGAAGTAATGGGTGGATCTGTAAAAATCCATTTTGTGGATTATGGAAATAGTGAAGAAGTTCCTCTTACTTTTGTGAGGGAGATCTCTTCAGATCTGTTGAAAACCCCCCAGCTAGCAGTCAAATGTTCTCTCCATGATGTTAAGCCTAACAGTGACTCAGAATGGAATATTGACCAGTGTGAAGTTTTCCAGGAAATAGTAAATGAAGAAAAGGTTTTTTTAGCAGAATTTTGCAGCAGTATTGATAATACATACCAAGTTAAACTGTTGGACATGGGAATTGATGTAGGAAAGACCTTCTTGTCAAAATGCATTGCTTCTAGCTCATCAGTACAAGAAGAAAAGTCGGATATTGTTAAGCTGACACATATTTTGCTTCAAGAACCTGTACATGAAGCAGAATGTATAAGTCCTAATAAAGTTAAGTCAAATGAAATCCTTAGTTTCAATCAAATGGAGAATGGAACCACCAGTTTGTTTTCTAAAGAAAATGATTCCTTCATTCTTAAAGAGATGGAAAATGAATCATTCAGTGTTGTAAGTAACAGAAATGTGTCATTCAGCATTACAGATAATGAAGAAGAATCATTTAGTGTTACAAATAATACTGATTCATCAAACTTTATGGGTATTGGAAATGAGCAGTTCAGCATTATACAAAAAGAAGATTCATTTTATGATGTAAACCAAGAATTTGAATCATGTAATATTATGGACAAGGACGAAGATTCATCCAGTGTTATAAATGAAGAAAAACCAAACAGTGACATGAACAAGCAATATAGATCAGACAGTGACATGTATCAGTATGATCCAACTAATGTTATAATGAAAAATGAAATTTGTAACATTGTTAAGGAAGATACTGGTGAGCCATCTGATTTTGGTAATGAATCAGAAAATTCTGTCAGTATCTGCACACCAGAGGAAGATATTTTAGAAAAAAATATAAACCCAGAAGACTTTGCATCATTGGGTGAACCAAATCCTCTTTCCCAGCAAGGGGGTAATCAACAGGACCAGTTTGTCCCAGCAGTAATCTCCATGAAGAAGTTAGATGAAGAAACTACAGCAAGGACTGCTTATGAGATTGAACCTAATCTAGTTTCTGTTCAGTCTAAAGAAATTCTGGAAGATTGTACATTGTTAGGAGAAAGTTTTAAAAATGAGTTTGTTCTTTCCAATAAAGACATGACTGAGGTAAATCAAAGGTTTTTATCTAATGTGGATAGAAACTTGAGTGATCATGACAAGATAACAGAGTCATCAGATGATTATTTGGAATACAAAAGTAATATAGAAGCAAAGAGTGGGGAGGAGTTAGAATATTGTACACATGAAGAGAAGTTAAGCCCATGGGAAGGGGAAAATGTACCAGCATCTACAAAATTAGATGAAACAATGCCACATGAACAAGTATCATTTTGTAACAGAATTAGTAAAGAAGATAAAGATGTGGAAAATGAGTGTGAACAAGAATTATCAACAAATAGAGGACAACAGTCAGAACAGTTAATAATAGCTTGTACTGAAAAAGCATTAACTTCTAACGACCAAGAAGAACAGCCCTTACTAAAAAAGGAATCAGCTAAAGAAATTGTTTGTAGTGAACACACAACACTAGATGGAGAGGAATCAGATAAAGAAATTGTTTACAGTGAACACACAACACTAGAAGGAGAGGAATCAGATAAAGAAATTGTTTACAGTGAACACACAACACTAGAAGGAGAGGAATCAGATAAAAAAATTGTTTACAGTGAACACACAACACTAGAAGGAAAGGAAATAGATAAAGAAAATGTTTACAGTGAACATACGACACTAGAAGGAAAGGAATCAGATAAAGAAATTATTTGCAGTGAACATACGACACTAGAAGGAAAGGAATCAGATAAAGAAATTATTTGCAGTGAACACACAACACTAGAAGAAAAGGAATTGGATAAAGAAATTGTTTGCAGTGAACACATAACACTAGAAGAAAAGGAATTGGATAAAGAAATTGTTTGCAGTGAACACATAACACTAGAAGGAGAGGTATCAGATAAAGAAATTGTTTGCAGTGAACACACAACACTAGAAGAAGAGAAATCAGATAAAGAAATTTACAGTGAACACACAACACTAGAAGGAGAGGAATCAGATAAAGAAATTGTTTACAATGAACACACAACACCAGAAGGAAAGGTATCAGATAAAGAAATTGTTTGCAGTGAACACATAACACTAGAAGGAAAAGACCTGGATAACCTAAAAGACATTGCTAGAGGTGATAATCCAGAAGATGATGATGATGATTTAGGTACAACCACTAATAAGCCTTCAGAAATCTCCACACCCGATTCACATGGCAAAACCTCATTTTCAACAGGCGCAGAAGAATAATGTTAAAATCTTCAAAAAGGAGTGATTCACAAACTGAAGTTCCTGAAACTCTTCATGTATTCCAAATTGTCTGATTATGCAAAACTATTGTATTATGAACAGAGAGCAATGAGTACATTGTGTACAATCCTTAAGAAACAAAGGTTAAAGACAAGCCTCTTGTTTTACAGCTTTATAGTTTTGTGAGTTCATTATATTTGATATTTGTGAGAGTACTATTATATGTTGGATTATAATTAAAGTGCACATAAGAAAACCTTTTTAATGTTCTTTTGGACTAACTTAGGATGTTTTTCAGAGTTTTAAGGTTCACTAAGTTTTAATTACACTATTATATAAGCTTTGCATCAGTTTTTCAGTTGGATATAATAAGAGCTGACTTTTAGCTTTTTTATTGTTTGAACTAAGTGTTAGTAAAATAATATTTTAAAGTTTTTATTGTAACTATCAAGTAAATGCAATGTTTGGTAGCAGTTATAAATTTTTTGAACCTTTAATAATGCATATAAAATGAAAAAATTGTCAAATGTCTAGACACTTAGAATAATAATTGAATTTAATTTTAAAGCAGTTAATTATAAGTGTTTACATTTGGTACTTACACACACACACACACTATTTGAGTTCTGGTAGTTTTAAAACTAATTTAAAAACTCTTAGTTTCATATTTTTTATGTACATACAAATAATCCCACCCAAAAACTGAACATATAGCAGTGACAAATGCATGAATATCAAAAATATTGTGTATGGAAACCTGTAAGAAAATAAATATTAACATACAATGAAAAGACTAGTGTTTGTGAAAGCATTGATAAATCTTATTTTATTTTTATTGAAAAGCTGTAAACTTCATAAAGGGTAGTACTTATGATACACTAAATATGAGATGTTTTAGAGATAATTTATATTCAGATGGTTCTAATGGTGCAGTTCTCAGTAAATGATATTGAAAAACAATAGATTTTCACATTCTTGATAACTTTTATTATTAAATCACAACTTTTATTATTAAATCACAACTTTATTTGTTTTAATTACAATATCTTGAATTCGTGAAAATAATTGGTTCAACAGAATCACAATTGAGTAAAAAATGTTGATCTTCTAATTTTGTATAATATATAAAATTATAAGAACTATCTCAAGGAAATAGAAACTCATAAGTTTGATTTGAAAGATCTAATGAAAGTTGTATCTCGTTTTTACAAAGTTAATTAAAAAGATTTTCTTTAAAACAAAATTCCTATCGTAAGCTTTCGACTTCAAGTCATTTTCTCTCTCCCTAGTTGAGATAAGGGTTTTATGAATTAATATAGTTTATATAAATATATAGTTTATCAGTACATTGAAAAGGAACTGTAAAACTGGATACTGTGAATCAGCCTCATGTCTTTCAGAACCTTAACAGTCACTGCGATTATGCATTGACTTCTGCCATACGAAATATAGTGCTCCGAATTACAAGACTTTATTGAATGAAAGAAACCCCCATGACCAACCAACTAGTTATCCAAATACTAACCGAAACGGAGATGTGATTTATGCTTTAGTTTATATATTGTAACATTAATCAAAGGAAACTTCTGTAAAATATCAAAGTTACATGGAAATAAAATTAATGCTTACTAAAACCTAGTGTACAGTCCAATTTTTCTCTATTTGGTTGTTTGAAGAAAAAGGTAACTACTGATATTGATTGTCGAAATTAATAAATATAATTTTTTCTAACAAATGTTTTGATGGAGATAGAAGTCTGTAGATATTAGAATAATGCACACACTAAAAATAGGAAACGTAAATTATTTCATTTAAACTTGTATAGATACCTCGGCAAATGTCGCATCCCCCAAAAGTGCCCGAAATAATATTCCACCGCTGCATTTTTATGCCATGAAACAGAATCCGAGAACTGCCCCTTCCCCCACGTGTTTTTGCGGAGAAATGTGTAATTTTCACCATTAGAATAGATACTAAGAAAAATCTCCATCCACATTGCGTGTAGCTCGGTGGTGAAAGCCGGCTCGTGTTGTTGTGCAAGGTCGGATTCGAACCTCAATTTGCACAACACAAGAATTTAGGTTCCGATTTCTTGGCGAAAACACAGTTCGAAGAAGCGCGATTTTTTGTAATCGGGGCGTAAAAATGCAGCGGTAAAATATTACTCCGGTCAGTTTTGGGTGCTACAGTTACCGAGGTATCCAAGTTAGTCTGAAAGGAAGGTTATTGGTACCTCGAACATATTTCTTCCATTGAGCTTGTGGTTGTATTTACTGCTTGACATTCACAGCTAGTACGTTGTCCTGAGTAGCTTTTAACACGACCCTTAAAAGTAATTTAGAGGGGATGAGATCAGAGAATAAAACATAATTAAAGACAAATAGTTGGAAATGACAAGCAAAAATTATAATTTAAATTTAGATTTGTATTTTCCTGAGGGTAGCGAATCAGGTAGATACAAGTTTAAAATATACAAGTGGAATAAACCTAAGTATTCCCCATAGTTTAATTAACCTAATTATTAACGTGCTCTTAGAGTAAGTGCTTATTTTTAGTGAATGTACGTACGTCTGTGCATGTTATAAATTTTATTTGAGACTCAATACCTTTAGAGTAATTCGGTTTTACGTAAGTAACTTGATTTTGTGGATAATCCAGATGTGAAATCAAAACACTTAAGTTAAATGTGCATATATAACAGTATCTAAAGATAAGGTATAAAACTCTCCTAGTACCATCAAGTTTACTTAAAATGTTATATATACGTTATAATAATTCGTCTGGTTGTACATTATTAAATATGTATAAAATATAAACTACATAAATATATGTATATCATGCAAATGGCCATACGTAAGTACCGACTTTTTCCAACTCTGTACAAAAACAAAGGAATGATAAATGGAACTTAAGAAAGTTTATAAAAAATATTAAATATAGGTGATGAGCATGGGCATATCCAGTGGCGTAACTACAAAAGATGCCTCCCATATAAAAGATAATTGGGCCCCCCTACATTATGCCCCCATAATTGCAGCCCCTATTCTGGCTGATTGATATCATTAACTTAACAGAATAATACAACCGCCCTTTAGTTCAAACCAATTAAATGCTCGTCGACAACTATTAAGTTTGTCAGATCCTTTTGGCTACATTCCCCCCGAAATGCGGTATCATAGTGTTACGACAGCGGAAGTCACGTGACCCTAGTACACGTCATGAGCTTCTAGAAAAATCATGTCCCTTCGTGAAGCCTCGAGTGTTTACTAGATGTACGGTACTCTTGTATATAAGACCCCCAAGAAGTGACGGCAACAATGTAATTGAATTGCAGACAATTGAGTCAAGGGCGTAAATCGTTTGTTCGTTGTGAATTATAGCGTTTGTTTAATTTATAGCGTGACTGTGGAAATTAAGTGTATTGCAAAGTTG